TGCTGGGCTCAAGCGATTCTCCTGCCTCTGCCTCCCAAGTAGCTGGGACTACAGGCACCTGCCACAGCGCCTGGCTATTTTTTGGTTGCAGCTGTCCTTGTTGTTTGGCAGGCCCAGGCTGGATTTGAACCCTCCAGCTCAGGTGTATGTGGCTGGCACCTTAGCTGCTTGAGTCACAGGTGCCGAGCCCTTTATTCTTCTTTCAGAATTTCCCAAACACCAGATGAGACAATGTCTGTCACATTGGTGGACTTCTAGTGACCGTTTAAACATTGTCTTTGTAGTTAGATGCACCTAGATTTATATCCTGGTTTTGTCACTTAGCTGTGTGACCCCATTCCCTCATTTGTAAAATGGGTCTAGCCATCCCTATCTTTTAGGATTGTTAGGAGGCAAAAATAAGAGAGTATTTTTAAAGCACTTACCATGGTGTCTGGCACATAGTAAATCAGTTTCCTCCTCCCTTTGGTTGAATAAATCAAGTGTCCTAGAGAAGACTGCCTGCTCTCCTGTTCACCCATTCCTTTCCTGACAACCATCCACATCGGAATGCTTCCTTTTTGTCACCATTAAGGACTTGATCCAGCTTATTGTTACTATTCTAGTCTTATTAGAAACAAAGTTCTTCCTAATTCACTATGACTTATTTTTATAATAAAATGAAAGGAGAAAGATATTAAAAAAGGTAGTAATATATGAAAGTTGGAAGGTAAAGTCTTCTCTCCTTTTTCTTTCCCTCTTTCCTATTCTACTACTTTATCTCCTTATTTCAGTGAATCTAGTAAGTGGTAAGTCAGTAGAGCTGCAGATTTCTACTCTTTTTTCTGCATCTACGAATATGTGGAAGTTTGACTGTCTACAAGGTAGATTGTATAGCCCCCATTCAGTGCTTTTTTTTTTTTTTTTTAGACAGAGTCTCAAGCTGTTGTCCTGGGTAGAGTGCTATGGCCTCATAGCTCACAGCAACCTCATACTCCTGGGCTTAAGTGATTTTCTTGCCTCAGCCTCCCAAGTAGCTGGGACCACAGGTGCCTGCCACAACGCCCGGCTATTTTTTGGTTGTAGTTTTTATTGTTGTATGGCAGCCTGGGCTGGATTTGAACCTGCCAGCTCCGGTGTATGTGGCTGGCACCCTAGCCACTGAGCTACAGGAGGTGAGCCCATTCAGTGCATTCTGGTCAACTTGTCTGTTAGCTAATTCATTGCAGTATAAAATACAGAGAAGATGGTTCAGATCCTTAAAGTCTTCATGCTTGTGTATTGAGATGCAGAGCTAAAGCCTTTGTTTTTGGGTGTCTGGGATTATAAATATATTTCTATTAGCTTGGTGGTCTCATGCTTTCTATATCTAGGTTAGGGCTATGGTTGTGGTTATGTATTTTTCCAAGTCTTGTGTCTGGCCTCTGTGTTACCACACTGATGCTTTTACTAGATAGGGAGATGAGCGTGTGTCATTCTGTTGACAGTGGGGATAAAGTTCTGGGTTGTGCTCTCGGTGTCTTATGAGGCATGTTATAGCCTACAAACCTGGTAGGTTGCAGCCCAAAAGAGTCAAGGTATTTTCTAAACTCTAATAGGAATAGAGATATTTTACTTAATATATAAGAAATATTTAAAAGTTGAGGGAACTATTTAAAAATGAAAAAGAATCCACATTGTCTAAAAACAAACAGGAAAACCTCTTAAGTGCACTGTGAGAATGGCAGGGGAGGAGATTTAAAGGTAGCTAGAATTTGGGAACAGGGTTTGAGCTCAACGCTGTGTAATGTCTGAGCAAGGGCAGGGCAGACACTGTTCATTTTTCTATGTGATATAGACCTGAGGCGTCAGAATGGTGTTATTTTATATCAAAACAATACCAAAGCAGTGTATTCTGGTGTTTGCAGAGTAGTATGCTCCTTTTTATTCCTTTTTCTTAATCCTGCCTCCAAAATTTATAACAGATCAGCTTCCCTAAATTCCATGGATTTGTACAGAATTCATTCCACAAGAGAAATCTCTATAGGAATTCACCATGATTCCAAGTGGAAATTATTGGATATTGTGATTCTCTGAGATTCTTTTTTTCTTGATTGAGTTAGGAGCAAAATGCTTACTCACTGCCTTATTCTTAGAATAGAGGCAAACAGCAATTCCATATAAATGTGTAGGATAAAATGTGTGGGATACAGGTTGAAAAATAGAAAACTTTACATATGCTGAGCAGGTAGTAAAGGCATCATTACTTACATGTCTTTCATTAGTTCATTCCACATTTATTTATTGGATGCTTACTTCATTCCAGCCACAGTTCTGGGTGCCAGGAAGGGATAGACCTTTCCGTGAAACCAGCAGTCTGAGCTCAGACTTCCCTTTTAGGTGGCCATAATAGGGCCCAGAACAGCTTTGGCTCATTTCTTTACATTAATTATTATTTTTTCACTCCCTGTCTCCAGGAGACAGTGCTGGCTTCCCTTTTTGTTTATAACCTCAGGCATGACTCATCTTTTAACCGTGAGTATTGCAGAATTGCATGTCACATTCCAAACTAATCTGTAGTGCTGCCAGGCTCTCTCAGTCAGCAGCTCTTTGCCTGTCTTCTGACAATCATGGTAGAGCAGTGAGATCAACTCACGAGTTAATCAGCTGGGAAGGGGAGAAGAGAGAACACGGTCCCTGCCTTCTCCCCATTTTTGTTAGGTACAAGACAGATTGAGGAGTTGACATCTTCTTTCTAGGTGCCAATATATCGGGCCATACCTCCTAAATCCATTTTTTTTTAGATTGAATTTGCACCTATGGGTAAATAAAGTCAACTGGTCTCTTAAGAATGGTATCGATCTTACAAATGCACTTGGCAGCTTTGGCTGATGGTTCTGTTGCCTAGACAAAATGGTCCTTTGAGGAAAACCTGAAATCTTATTTTAGAATTTTAAGAAAATTCATCAAAAAAATAAGCAAAGATAGCCAGGCGTTGTGGCGGGTACCTGTAGTCCTAGCTGCTTGGGAGGCTGAGGCAAGAGAGACTCTTAAACCCAAGAATTTGAGGTTGCTGTGAGCTGTGACACCATGGCACTCTACCGAGGGCAACACAGTGAGATTCTGTCTCTAAATAAATAAATAAGTGAGTTATAAGCAAATAAAATTCATCCTGATAATTTTCTAAATAATACTGAGTTTTCAGACCTCCAAAGAATTTAGGAATTTGTATACTTTGGTTTTGGTATTGGCTTTCCTTCTATAGTAAGTTTGAATGATTGATGTATATCCTTAAAAAATGTGTATATTTAGGTATTTAGGGCAGCTTTGCAATATAAAAAACATTTCCACCTATAATTCTCTACTATAAATAGAACCGTTCCCATTTCCTGGAATTCTTTTTAGTTTTTATCTAATTATGTTATTATATTTTGGCATTTATGCCATTGTATATTTTATTCTAATCCTTCAAATTTCTTACTTGCCAACTTTTTGGATATTTCTCACTGAAGTAATTCATGCTGTAGAGTGTGTGACTCAGGGTATTAGGGGTTTGTTTTGAATAGCAAGATGAAAGTCAGACTAGACTTCCAACCAGAAATCATTCCAAGCAATCTGAGGCACAGATGAGACAGTAAATTTCTTCTTGGCCTAAGCTTAGGTGGACAGTAGGTAGATTTGTGTAGTGTTTGCTCAGATTATTGATGGTAAGAAGCTAAAAACACTTTGAACTTTAGGGAGTTCAGAATGGCCAGGCAGAGGAAAGTTATATGACCTACCTGAAAATAAAGCTTAGTTCTTTTTTAGTAAAGAAGGTGAGAACTTTATGTTTTGTTGAGGTTGGAAAAGACTTTAAAAAATAAAACACATATCAAGTGTCAGTGTCTATGGAAAAGAGATTCAAGACATATTAGGCTGGCGTTTTCCAATCCTTTCTTACTTATCTAAAGAAAGGAGATCAAAAAGGAAAAAGGTCCCAGGTTTTGATTTTTTAAAATATTTTATCAAATATGCATACTACTCAAATAAGACAAGGAATAAAATCAGAATTTTAGTCTGAAAGAAAATCGCTTATCTTTTATTATATCTCTAATATTCAACATCTGATAACTGTTAAGGACATAAACTTAAGCTTATTTGTGTAGAGTTGTTTTATAACTCTGTAGACTTCTGTGGAGGATTGATTCTGAGTTTGCAGGCCCCTGAAGATGTCAGTAGTTTGTACATCTATGATGGTGATATAGGCACGAGTTCCTAGTCAACCCTTTACATCTGGGATGCCAGGCAAAGCAGACAGTTTCAAAGCAACAGAGGAGCATCCTATGCAGTGGATGGACATACATGTTTGTATGTGCTTCAGAACTTCTTAGGAACACTGGGAGGCCAAGGCAGGTAGATTGCCTGAGCTCACAGGTTCAAGACAAGCCTGAGCCAGAGTGAGACCTCATCTCTAAAAATAGCCAGATGTTGTGGTGGGTGCTTATAATCCTAGTTACTTGGGAGGCTGAGGCAAGAGAATTGCCTAAGCCCAGGAGTTTGAGGTTGCTGTGAGCTATGCTGTGGCACTCTACCAAGGACGACAAAGTTAGCCTCTGTCTCCAAAAGAAAAGAAGGGGGCGGCACCTGTGGCTCAAAGGAGTAGGACCCTGGCCCCATATACTGGAGGTGGCAGGTTGAAACCCAGCCCCAGCCAAAAACTGCAAAAAAAAAAAAAAAAAAAAAGAGAGAGAGAGAGCAAATTTTTTTTTATCTGAAATGGCTGAAGGTACTGCCATCCTTTCTACTTGTTTTTTCACTCCTTTTTTGACGAATGCCTGCCTTCATAGGCTGCACCAGGGTATGTTGGTAATGGGGAAAGAGGTGGACAAATGATTGGGACACACTGAAGTCTAATTGTTCCATCATAGATCTGGATTTTGGTCTCAGTGTAGGACTTTGGCAAGACAAGGATTATTTTGACCCTGAGGTGCTGATATGACTCCCGTCCCCTTCCAGGAAGTGGACGTCGTGGTAGCACCGTGCCAAGGCCTCCGGCCCACAGTGGATGTTCTGGGTGACTTGGCGAATGATTTCTTGCCTGTGATAACTTATGCACTCCACAAAGATGAACTCTCTGAGAAGGATGAACAAGAGCTTCAGGAAATTCGAAAGTATTTCTCCTTTCCTGTATTCTTTTTCAAAGTGCCGAAGCTGGGTTCGGAGATAATAGACTCTACCAGGAGAACAGAGAGTGAAAGATCACCACTTTATCGCCAACTGATCAACCTGGGCTACCTAAGCAGCAGTCACTGGAACTGTGGGGCTCCCAGCCAGGACACGAAAGCTCAGAGTATGTTGGTGGAACACAGTGAGAAACTGAGACACTTGAGCACATTTTCTCACCAGGTGCTACAGACTCGCCTGGTGGATGCAGCCAAGGCCCTGAACCTGGTACACTGCCACAGCCTCGACATCTTCATTAACCAGGCCTTTGACATGCAGCGGGACCTGCAGATTACTCCCAAACGTCTGGAATATACTCGAAAAAAGGAGAATGAGTTGTATGAGTCGTTGATGAATATTGCCAATCGAAAGCAGGAGGAAATGAAGGATATGATCATTGAGACACTTAACACCATGAAGGAGGAACTTCTAGATGATGCTACCAACATGGAGTTTAAAGGTAGGTCTCAGAGAGCTTGTTGGGGTGCTGGGACTACAGGAGCCTCTAAAGCTTTTCTGGTTGGAAATTGAGTACATAAATTCTTAAGGTTAAAGGAACTTCACGGTAATTTCATCCACCGCGTGTTACCAGCAAAAGCCCACCTTAAGGCTCG